TTGCCGTGAGGGAGGCAGTAATTATTGTGGCAGGGAGGGAAGGGTGAAGTTGTTCTCCGTGTATCTGCATTGCAGCCCGGTGCTGCTGATGGAATTCAAACACACAACAATGGCGACTCCCAGTCCTAACAACTCAACAACACCTAGCAGCCACAACAGCAGCAATAACGCAGGATCTGCTGCACACCACCATCTCCAGTCCCCCCAGCAGCACTTTACAACAATGAGCAGCATGCAGGGTAAGTAGGCAATGCTAACAGAGACGGTGCTAGTAGCTGGGATGGCTTACATTTTGCTGCAGTGAAGGTTAATGTTAGCAGCTAGCCGTGGGAGGCTCAGGCTACTCCCAGCCCTGAAAACATATTCCCGAGGGAACGGACCTGTATTTTCCCCCTGGAGAAACCTGTCAATTGTCATCAACTAGAAAATAATAATATACTGTTTCTTACAATATTCATGTTATGTCATTGTTACCATTTTGACATTTCGTAGCCACGTTACGTTCTATTTTCTCCTGTCTGGGGAAAATACTGCCAAACTCCGTTCAAAGAAATGTCAATTATAAATCGTAACTATATAACTAGCCAATTGTATAATATTTCATTTTTCAATTTAACAAACCGTAATTATCTATTGGTCTGCATCCGTTTATAATCATGCATTTGGATTGCACTTCCCTTGGCACTAATGACGTCTGTTGTTTCAAAATTGGCTTCATGCGTCTTTCACACATAACATGGATTGTAAGAATAATATATGCCAAATTCATTAAAAATACCTTCAGCATTGAGAAATCATTTCAAGTCATGTTCAATTGTCTGTAGGCGGTTGGCAATATACACAATCAAATTAAATTAATTTTAAAATTAGATGGGTTTAATTTATTCTTTACACCATTGTTATGCACGAGCAAGTACATGTGATGCATAAAGCTGCTCTTGTCCTTTTCTTTTTTTTTTAAATATCTAAATCAATATCTTTGATTCAATCACAATGCTGTAAATGAATGCTGTATTTTTGTGCAAACAATCTCTCATTTTAACTTGCAGAGTCCAACACCTGCTGGAGATGTCAGAGTGAAACAGGTAGCTACACAGTTCACTGACTTCTAAGAGTAGAACAAGCATTTTATTAATAAGAAAAATGTCATACTAAATCAATCATTACAAGTTCTGGGAAGCAAATGTGCGTGTGTGTATGTGTGTATATATGTGTGTGTGTATATATATATATATATATTATATATATATATATGATAATAACAACAATAGAGATTTTCATGGTTTAAAAATTCAGTCCTGAATGATGATGTTTACATTGTGTTTGTATAGTTAGCGATTGGGAAATGTATTTTCTTGAATGTCTTTCACCTGATGGTATAATTAATTAATACAAATAGTCATCATTGAGATGGCAGGTTTTATATAATTAGATTTTATAATAATGTATTGAGTTTTTTAATGTGTATTTATGTACTTTGATTCATATTCCCCTGATCATGTTTCACCTTTTACCTTACTGCTGCTAACTAATGATTCCTATCTCCTGACATGATGCTGAATGATGGTGAGATCTCCCCGAGAAAATGTTTATTCAACTTTTTATTATTTTTCACGGTGGTAATTCATTCTCACTCGTAGTTCCCCTTATATTTTTGTTTCATTTTGCCTCCATTATCTGTTACACTGAAACATGACATGCTCGCATTTGTGTCATAAATGTGCATGCTAATGCATTACCTTCCCTATGATGCATTTCACCTGCGATAGATATCTCTGACATGTCGGTGGAGCAAGGCCAATTTCTGTGATTATTTTATAGACCCTGGAACTGGAACCTGGTTTGTTTGGTGAAAAAATTGGACACCATTTTATATTTTACAGGAGGATGGGATTTTAGCAAAGGGAGGTAACATTAGGTCTAACTAACAAACAGCCTTCTTGAAGAGGATAAAGAAGCTGGCTAACTGAAGGTGAAATATGAAGAAAATAAAAGCTGTCTTCTCACCTCTAGGGTTTCAGATAAACCTGTCTGGAGCTCCCCCAAGTAAGCCAAACCTCTTTTGCTTCAGCACCAACAGTTCTCATCCCTTTGTTTCCGCCTGACAGTCTGGTATGGGGGAGTCTGTCCTGCTGTTCTCCACTAATCCCAGTCAAGACTTCTGATACTTCAAGTAGGCTTGTGCCGGTTGCTACTAGCTCAGACGACAGGATAAAGCTGCAGCTTGTCAGACACCTGCACTTACTGTATGGAACTTTTATGAGTTTTACAAAGAGCTTTAATAAATCATAGCCTTTTTCCCATCAACTACCTACTGCAGAATTAAAGGGATAGTTTGAAGTGAGTTTATATAACCAAACCTACAGTTGGAGGAAGTTAAGAGAAACATACAGGAGTACCAGCAGGAAGCTAAAACATATTTTTGAGACCTTAAAAAAGAAAATCAGTCCAAGTGTAATTACATTTAGCTTATTTCGCCTAGACCTAATCTCTCTTCAAAACCACCAGTCTCCATTGACAAAAACAGTCATTTTAACTCTCAGTTACACCAAATTATCCTGTCATCCAGTGCCTAGATTGGTTAGTTTGTTTGTGTGATTATGTCACCTTGGTGAATCCTAACTAACAACTTAAAGGTCCCATGTCATGCTTTTTCAATTATTACCCGTCCCCTTGTGTGTTATGTAGCTTTTTCTGCATGTAAACGGTCTGCAGAGTCACAAACCCTCAAAGTACACCCTGTAGGGAGTAAAACTCAAACACAGTCTATGCTGCCCCAGAACGCCTCGTTGGAGATTTCTCTTTTTCTTCCTGGGTACAGTGATGTATTGGGTATAGTGACGTAACTTAACGGCTCCGCGGACTTCCTCACACACACACACACACACACACACACACACACACACACACACACACACACACACACACACACACACACACACACACACACACACACACACACACTCAATCTTTTCTCCGCGGATTTCTCACAGCCAGGCTGCAGGTGTTTGTGTGTGTGTGTGCTCGGGCTGGGTTCGGGCTGGATTTAGCTGTGTCTCGCAGACCCCACGCAGCAGCCAGGAAACAAGACCAGTAACCCAGCTCACACTGTCCGCTCCTCGCAGCAGCGAGCCCCGCAACGTCCCGCCAACACGGCACCCAGACCCCACGCAGCATTCTCATCTGTTTGTCATTGCTGCTGTCATTTTCTGGTTGCTAACAAACGCCATTGTAAAACATAAACAAACATCAGAGCACAGTGGGCTTATAG